AAGGCTGCTTTCTGGGATTAAAGGCGTGAGTCACCATGCCTGACTGTTTCCAATGCGGCCTTGAACTCACAGAGGTCCAGAGGGATTTCTGTCTCTGGAATGCTAGGATTAAAGGCGTGTGCTAACATTTTCTAGCCTAAGTATCTTGTGGCTTTTCTGTTCTCTGACCCCAGATAAGTTTATTAAGGTACACAATATTTTGGGGAACACAATACCACCACAGAGTTATGTGGAGGAGAGGGTCAGACAGATTCACCCAGATAGACTCTGGAAAAAGATATGCTGGATCCCAAACTCTAAAAACATGATGAAAGTCAATGAAGATTTGTTGAAAAAAATTAAAAAGGCAGGAGCAATGAAAACTGTAGAAAGACCTTTGTGTTAGTAGTTACAAAAAATGTTCTAATCCCACCATCATGAGTCTGTTCTTTAATTTTTCCTGTGTTGGTGAACAGTAAGATTTGTTGAAGAGGAGAGGAAAGCAGAAACTAAAAATAAATCTGGAAACCATGGCACTGGACTCTGGTTAGCTTTTATGAAGCAAACCCCTTGGGCATGTTTGCTTTCTCTACTTTAACATGAAGCAGGAAAACTTAAGGAACTTGAAAAATAAAGCTAAGTGATCTAAATGAGAAAATGAATCTATGAGGGAGTGTTAGAGAGTTCCTAGTCTGTTAGGATATACAATATAGTATATCCTTGGGGCTACTTGCCAGTTTTCAAGCACCTGGCCAGTTACCGTGAGAGAGATAGCTAAGTGGCAGGCATCCATCTCCAGGGAGGACCAGATGAGGAGCATAAAAACTAAATTGAAAGAGTTGGGAGAATTCAACTGATTTTATTTGAGGGATCTGCATTTATTTCTAAAACTTAGTCTTTAAGAAAGATTGCCCTAGGATGAGAGATTTTGCTCTGCGTCTGTGCACCTCATTCACCAAGTGTTTGCTGTAGGGATGCTTGAATTGCCAGCAATGAAGTATATGAAATGCAGGGCCACCCAGGAAGTAATAATGTTCATAAAAGCAAGTGATCTTAAAATTAAGATACATTAGACTTGTCACAGATTCAAATTTTGGAATTAATTTGTAAGACTGATTTTATAATATGAAATTAATGTAATTTCAAATAGTGTCTGTCCATAGTTCATCATTAAGAAGACAACTACATGTAGAGTTTTCTTGTAATATAGTTCACTAAAGAGAAAAAACTGGGGAGGGACATAATGGTGTGCACCTGTAAGAGCAGGAGGCCATCAACACAATTTACATAGCAAGTTACAGCCCATCCAGAAATGCTAACAAGATCCTATCGCAACAGAACAAAAAAGGGAAAGAATACTAGTTATCTCTCTTTTCTCTTGAAAGACATCGAATTGTAAATTAGTGAGTTTTTCACCTGTTGTTTAAGAGAATGAATGACCTGTTGCTGTTATATAAATATATTGATGTTGATAAAAATCTATATGTAGGGCCATGCATAGTACATACCTTTTAATTCTAACACTCTGGAGGCAGAGGCAAGTGAATTCAACCATACTAGTCTACATAGCAAGTTCCAGTTCAGCCAGGGATATTTTTCTTTTTTTTTTTTTCTTTTTTTTTTTTTTTTTTTTTGGTTTTTCGAGACAGGGTTTCTCTGTGTAGCTTTTTGCGCCTTTCCTGGAACTCACTTGGTAGCCCAGGCTGGCCTCGAACTCACAGAGATCCGCCTGGCTCTGCCTCCCGAGTGCTGGGATTAAAGGCGTGCGCCACCACCGCCCGGCCTCAGCCAGGGATATATAATGAGATGCTGTTGAAAAATTTTTTAAATCTCATGAATAAATTTGACTGTTTTGACTATAATCACCTTTAAAACTCAGTAGAATGTAAGCAGTTGCTGGCAAGTAGATTTAATGATTTCCCCACTTTCCATCCCTGTGCATTCTTTGGTAAAGGATCTATCCAAGTATTTTTTCCATGTTCTTTGTCTTTTTCATGTGTGTGTGGGTGCAATATCTATGTGCGTTTGCATGTATGTGGGTACTCTTTTATGTAGGGATGCACATATATACATGTGGAGGCGTGAGGTTGATGTCAGTTGGGAAACTCACTCAGTTGCTTTCTACTTTTATTCTCTTTTGAGGCAGACTCAATTAATTTAGAGCCTCGCAGAGTCTAGTTAGCCATGTTGCTCCAGGGATTCCCTGTTCCTCCCTTTTGCCTTCCAAGGCTGGAGTTAACAGAAGAGGCACGTTTATGTGGGTTCTGAGATCTAAAGTTTGGTCTTCTTACTTGCATGGCAAGCACTTTAAACCATTGAACCGTCCTAGCTCCCTTTTCCATTTTAAACAGATTTGTTCATATTATTGAGTTGCATTCTTTATATAGTCTCAATGCAGTTCTTTTATAGATAAATGTTTGTTAAACATTTTCTCCCAGTCAAGACCCCATCCTTTCATTTTCTTAGCATCCTGTTTCAAAAAGGAGATAGTTTCCACTGGATAAAATTACTTTATCATTCCTGTGACTTAGGATATATTCTTAATAATCCCAGGCCACAAAGCATTTTCAGTTGTATGTTGAATATAAAATCACAAATTTCAACAAGATACAAGACTCTTTATTTTTATCCTGTATTTCACCTTTATTTTCTTGTTATTTGATAATTTGGCCTATTTAAGTATGTGATCCATTCAAGTTCATTGCTGTAGATAAGGACCAAGGTTTGTTTTAATATGGATTCTTCAGTATTTGTTAAACTACTGTCTTTTCTCTAAAATGTATTTATATGTATGTCTGTGGGCCATGTGTGCCCTTGGCAAAGGGAGAGGGTGTTAAATCATCTGAAACTAGAGTTATAGGCAATTGTGAGCCACTCAGCAAGAGGCCGGGAACCAAATCGGGTCCTCTGGAAGAGCAACAAGTGCCCTTCACCCCTGAGATATCTGTCCAGCCCCAGGCTTATTTCTTTGAACCACCTTGATAACTATTGAAATTTATTTGACTTTATCCAGGTGCATTATCTTCTCATTTAACAAAGACCTTCCTTACTCCATGTGACTATTAACTAAAAGTACATCACTTCTATTTCACAACCATGCTTTTTAGAGAGTTATAGATTTGCTGTTTGACCCTCTTTATTCTTCCTTCTCACACAGCCGTCCTTCTCTGTTTCACTAAGGCAGCTCTCCCAGAATCATCACATGATTCTTTTTTTATTAAATTTTTAAAATTTATTTTGCATACCAACCACAGTTTCCCCTCCTCCTCTCATCCCGATCCCTCCCCCACCTCTCTACCCCCTCCCCATCCACTCCTCAGAAAGAGTAAGGCCCCCATGGGAGTCAACAAAGCATGGCACACTAAGTTGAGGCAGGACCAAGCTCCTCCCCCCTGCATCAAGGCTGAGTGAGGCATCCCAACATAGGGAATAGGTTCCAAAATGCCAGCTTATGTGCCAGGGACAGTTCCTGGTCCCACTGCTAGAGGGCCACAAACAGACCAAGCTATGCAACTATCACCCACATGCAGAGGGCCTAGGTTGGTCCCATGCAAGCTCCCCAGCTGTTGGTCTAGAGTTCCTGAGCTCCCATGAGCTCGGGTTAACTGTTTCTGTGGGTTTCCCCATCATGATCTTGACCCCCTTTGCTCATGTAATCCCTCCTTCTCTTCAACTTGACTCCTGGAGCTTAACCCAGTGCTTGGCTGTCATCACACTATTCTAACATTGGTCCTTAGCTAAAGTGATTCTCTACAGCTTTGACTGAAATAGCATCCTGTTGTCCTTATTTTTCTCTGTGTTGATGTTTGTCCATATGTATCTATGTTGTTAGTTTTTCTTTTGCCTATTTCTTAAATCTCAGCATCTTTAGGATTCTGACCAAAGCCTCTTCTCATTCTTATGAATTCCTTTCTTATTCTCATTTACTCTTTCAGATGAAGAGTTTCAACTTTATATCTGACCTAAATCTTTTGAGATTTGGTTGATGCACATTTCACTATCTACAGGAATAAAACCTTAGTGAAAAAAAAGTATCTTGTATAGGTCTTGTTCACATTTGTATCCCATGTTTAGCACATAGAACATCACAGAAATTTATGACTATTGGTGAACAGATAGATATATGAAAAGCTAATCAAATTTAGCTTTGGTAGGATTATCTTATTATTCTAAGTGTAATACTTTCATTCCATTCTTTTACTAATACCACATACATTTAATGAGTATAACTGGGCACATAAAGAACATTTACTTTATAATCACATAGTTTTGTTTTGTTTTTTTTAACCATGGCTTAGTGTTGCTGTTATAGTTGGTAAGGAGTCTCGGGGGAAAAGGGCAGGAAGGAGATTTTGAGCTGGGTTGGGAAGATTAGAGAGCAAGGGGATATTTTTCCAAATGTTGCAAATACTGTTTCTGATGTGTTTTCTTCCATAATTTTCTACAGAAATGGTCTATGTGAATTGAGAATAAAATATTTACTGTCTCTTAAATTCTCATTGCAGCAAGAAGAAAAATACTTAAAAAACTTAGGTAAAGTTTAAAAAACAGTATATAATAGTGAAAGTCCTAAAATAATTCTCCAGAGTTAAATATAGGAAGCTATAAACTGGATAATCTAGTTTCCTTTAGCCGTAGTATGATACATACTTTTACAATGATCTGCTCACATCAAGGAATATATCTGCTATAATAGGTGTAGAATCGGACTCAAGCTTCTTTAAGGAGAATTTATGGAGGAGTATAAGTTCATTGACGCTCTCAAGGAGCTCACAACTTGAGAGAGACTAGATACACAACCACAACCAATAAATAAACAACAACATATGTGATAAGGTTTAGAATATCCGTTGCAAATTCCTTGGCAAAACAAATAAAAATAGTGTTTGCCAGTGCACATGGTTTTATCCTTGCCTATCACAATAAGCTGTTTGATAAGCATTTAGGGATTTTTTTGTACATGCCTTTTTAATTTGTTCTAGAATATGTAGTTCTTTACATTCTTCTCTCTTTCCTTTCAGTGAACGGTTTCTGGTGAGACTGAACAAGAATGGTGGGCCAAGGAACCCAGAGAAGATAGAACGAATGTGTGCCCTTTTTACAGTATGTGCAAATTCTCTTTCTCTTTATGTGTTGACTCTAAACAAGGGCCTGCTTGTGGATATTGTCACTCTGGAAACAAACATCTTTTCTTATCTCCACTTGTGAGAATAGGGATTGACTTATGTTTCCATCAAGTTTTAATTAAATATTTTTAGAGACCTTCAATTAACAATGATTTTTAATTGAAATTTTATTTTAAAAAATCAAGTACCTCTTACTAATGTAGATTTTATAAGCTATTTCATATGAAATCTCTGATGTCCAAGTCATCCACCAGATCTACAGTTTAGGAGCATTTTAGTAAGTTCATGTAAACTAACCAGTCCTCTTTCAAATACCAAATGGAGGGATTTTTTTCTACTCTCATCTATACTTTACATTTTTCCAAATAACTGTGTTATTGTTCATGGTTTCCACTCATGAAGCCATCATCTCAGAAGGCTTGCCAATCTGCTTATTGAAAACTAAATCTCATAATACTACACTGTCTTTGTTTTCCAAATCAACTTTATTTATTTTTACTAAGTAAAAATTATCCAACTTTATTTGAATTAATTTATTGAAGAAGGAGGAGGAGGAGAAGGAGGAGGAGGAGGAGAAGGAGGAGAAGGAGGAGGAGGAGGAGAAGGAGAAGAAGAAGAAGAAGAAGAAAAGTGTGTCACAGTTTAAAGCACTTGGACCCTTGTAGATTCTTTGTCCTATTTCAGTGATAATTAAGATATATTGAATTCATTAGCTAGGCATAGTTTGCCTATGTTACAACTAGCTAGTTAGGAAGTAGAGGCTGGAGGATTAGCAAGATGCTAGGAAAACCAAAACAGAACAAAGCAAAAATCCTCATTAGCTTAGGAAGGTGTAATAGTTTCACAGTGTTCTTGGCATTACATGTAACCTATGACTACTAGGTGGAGAGATATCTTAAAACTGACTTGATGCAAATGGTATTTATCTGAAGATCTAATATGTGACTTTATTAGAAAGCTAATTATATTTCTTCACCTGATTTCAGATCATTTACTGCAACTTAATCTTTCAAAATGTCAAATGATGGTGCTACAGAATAAGATTCTGCTTTCCCAGGACTAGCTTCACTGAAAACGTTCCATATAGGAAAACAATGCTCCAGCTGTACAGGAAGATTTTCAAATCTAGCTAAGCTCAAATAATGTTTTGTCCATGTCTGAGTTCATCATTGAAACCTCAGGAGATAATGTAAGAAGAAAGAACAGGGAGAGCAAAACCATGACAGTTATTGAGGGAATTAAATAAAAATGGCTAATCTGGAAAGAGCAATACACTCTATTCAGCATCCAACAGAGGAAAGAAAGAATCTAGATTATAGGGAATGGGATTATGTTAACTGAGAACTTTTGAAGTGAGAGTACCCAACTGAGGTCTCTTTGAGACTTCATTTCTAAAACAAAAAGAGAATGTCTCAGTTAAAAAGAGGCTTTTCTAGATCTTGATGCCCTCGTATTTTCTGGCAAAACAAGAGAAATTGTTGATGACTGTTATTTAGATTTGCAAGAGCTAAGTGTATAAGTAAGCTGTTGTTGAATTCTTAGATATGAATGCCTACCCTTTGTCTCTTGAAAAATTAGCTTAATTATGAAGATGTTTGAATGCAATTACAGTAAGTCAAAATTTTTATTTAGCACTTTATTTATATGAGCCCAAAGGCCAAAGCTGTAGCATCACCTGTATAAATAAAAAAATGTGCATAATACTCATGATGTGCTCCTCTTCTACCATAGTGGGAAGGCACAAAGCTGTTAAGTATACTACTGTATAGTTTCCTTTGTAGTACAGCCCTGGATTTTTTTTTTTTTTTTTTTTTTTTTTGGTTTTTCGAGACAGGGTTTCTCTGTGTAGCTTTGTGCCTCTCCTGGAACTCACTCTGTAGCCCAGGCTGGCCTCGAACTCAGAGATCCGCCTGGCTCTGCCTCCTAAGTGCTGGGATTAAAGGCGTGCGCCACCACAGCCCGGCCAGCCCTGGATTTTTTAAAGTTCCCCAGTGTTATTAGAGGAGTATTTACAAAGTTTTAAATAATATTTTTATTAATTCCTTGAGAATTCCATACATGTTGGTTTTTTTCATATTCATCCTCTTTTTATCCTTTTATCATATTCATATCTCCTCCATATTCATACCCTTCCATTCTCTCCCAACTTTGTGTCCTCATTAAGAAAAAATTGAGTCCAATTTGTGCTGCCTAATATACTCTTGGATATGTGGCTGCCCACTGGAGCACTGGTGATAATGATGTTAGACATTGTGAAGTATGGGTTAACACTAATTTAGGCTATGTAGATGTTCGGAACTGTATCTTTGGAAAATGTGTCAAACCTTCTATATACTTCAGGAATATGTAAATTTTAGCCTAAGAATGAGTATAAAATACATGAAAATATTTTATTTCTAATTTCTATTACTTATTGTATTTTTTTTTCTTGGCTTTCCAAGACAAGGTTTCTCTGTGTAACAGCTCTGGCTATCTTGGAACTCACTCTGTAGACCAGGCTGGCCTAAAACTCAGAGATCTGCCTGCCTTTGCCTCCCAAGTGCTGGGATTAAAGGCATATGCCACTACCACCCAACTATTGTATATCTTATTACAATGTTACCTTGAAAATATCATTTAAAATTCCATTTTTATTTTTATTATACTTTTTTAGATTTATTTTATATGTGTGAGCATTTTGCACACATACATATATGCACCATGTGCAAGCCAGGTACTTGTGGAGATCAGAAGAAGGCATTAGATCCCCTGGAACTGGAGTTCCATATGTTTGTAAGCCACCCTGTAGGTGCTGGGAACTGAACTCTATTCTCTGTAAGAACAGCAAATTCTCTTACCCACTGAGCCATCTCTAGCCCCTAAAATTCCATTTTTAAATTAGAGAAATGTGCAAAATGGAGTCCAACACATCCCTTCAATATTAAAAGATAACTTTCATGTAAAAGTTTATCTTTGTAATACCAGAAATACCAATTATGTTACATAATAAATTTTTGTGACTTATTTCATTGTTACTCTTTTTTTAAGAACTTGGCAATAAATTGTAACCATTTAGAATCCAAAACTACAATTTCACCTTTCTGTATTACCTTTTAATGTCTCCCTGGTTCTGTTGTTTGTTCAGAGTTATTCAGCAGGACAGAGCAGGGACTAGAGTAAGATAAGCAACACACAGGATCCCCAGAGTAAGAGCCTCTGTTCATTTTGTACCTTAGGTTACTTGCTTGCTTCACCTTAATTCTAGTCCAATAAAGGCTATAAATCAAGACATGGTGACTCTGCATTATAAGCTAACCCAAAGTCAAAGCCACTCTTTTTTTCCTTCCTTATTAAAAGAGACAAGCATGTGAAACCAAGCAAAAGATGAAAGATGGACAGAAATGGAGCTGAGGGGCTCTTTCCTAGAAAGGAAAACTTGTCTCATGAAAGACAAAGGTCACACCATCAGGCATCACCATATCACAGTAATGGCTAGAAGCAACCTGCAAATGGATAGCCTGATGAAAAATCTGAAACCGAATAGATGATAGATAGATAGATAGATAGATAGATAGATAGATAGATAGATAGATAGATAGATAGATAGATAGATAGATGAAGGAAGGAAGGAAGGAAGGAAGAATATATGAAATATATGTGGAAGTTTTACTATTCCTGATGAAATAGCAAATGTGTTACTTTAAAATGGATTTTAAATGTAAGTATGTTCAGACAGATTTTTGTAATTTTTTTAGTTGGAAAGTTTCTGATTTGGGATTAGGTTTGTTTATTTAAAAGAAGCTCTTTCAAGTTTCTAATAAAATTATTTTCAGGGCTAATAAGATGGCTCAGTAGATAGATGTTATTTGCTGCCAAGCCTGATGACCTGAGTTTGAATTCTAGCTCCCACGTGGTGGAGAAAACTGATTTGTGGAAGTTGTCTTCCGACCTTCATATGCATGCCATGGCACACATGCTCCCTTCCATAAATAACTGAAAAACAAAGACAAAGTATTTTCAGTCTTATAACTTGGTACAGATAATAACAATAAATATCTAAATTTAGACCCAAATCTTTTATCAAGGTTTTGCTAAGATCAAATTAATCTCATTTGCAGGAAATATGGCCAGTGTGTAATAATGACTTGTGGACAGTGGGATGAATGTAAAGTTAGTACAGAATAAATTTTTAGCATGTTAGTCATTAATGAGATTTTAATATTTTGCTGCACTTTATTGCACTGAACGTTTATTTCTTGCATTACAAAATATCTTTGCATGATGACAGAATAACCATGGGTGAAAATATGATTTTCATTGTGAAACTGTGGGGCGTTTACCCAACCACCCCCACAGTTCCCCAGTGTTTTCTTGAGTGCGAGCAGCAGGAAATATTAGATAGGATTTATTGCGGAGAATATCGCGGAGATAAACAGAAAATAAAGGATAGCCTCGAGAGGGCCTGGAACCTATTCCAACGGCTGTCTCTGCCCCAGGGTTTTTAATAGAGACGCCAAGGGGTGGAGCAAAAGACCTCCCCCAGCACAGCCAAGTGCAGACCATCTCAGACACCTGCACTCAGGCCCGTGGTCCTAATCATCCTCTATGCGGACCTGCTGGGTAAAGCCACAAGGAACCTGAGAACGGGCTCCCACAGGTCCCCCTTTCTTTATAAAAAAATAACTATTAATGGCTTACAGCAATCTCTATAGCTGATACACCTCCCAATATGGAAGTAGAGGATGATAAAGATGGCATTTCTCTTTTGAATTAGGTCCAAGGTGACTACAGCAATCTTAGCTGCCTCAAGCCCTTTCTAAGCCAAAACCTCTTAAGGTGACTACAAACTTAAAGAATCCCTTAGCTTCATCATTACCATTAACAGGTTAACATAAATATTGCTATACATAGTCACAATTCTCTCAATCTTACAACTCAAAGCAAACTCTTAACAGAACCATTTGAATTAGCATATATGGTGCTATATATAGTTAACAA